GCAAATATGCAGACTTTTAGAATCTATGCAGATGAATATTGAAACAATAATGAACCATGAAGAATACCATCAGATTTCTTAAGGCTTATTCAAGTTTCAGAAGCCACACGATCAAACCAAACATACTTTTTCTGCTCTGCTCGTTTGAATTTAGTTTGGCCAATCTGATTAAAGAGTTTTTTGTTGCCCTCTAGCAGGAGTCTTTATACCATCTGTCATTTAGAAATACAAATTGTTTGTTCATTTGTTTCTTTGTGAGTGAAAATTATTTTATTTCCCACTCTAACTTGCATTGGCATTTTCCTCCTTTTTTGTTGGTTATTACAATATGTGCTCTCCAAGATCGTGCAAAAAATTTATTTGGCATTCTCCTGCTGTTACAAGCACGGTAAGGAAATGAAAGCATTAAAATATGAAGGCAATCATGAGGTCATTTAGTCAGTGTCAGTCTTGGCAAGCCGTATTGAAGGATAATTTGGCAAGAGTTTATATATAGAGGTAACTAGTGCCACTTCCCTTTTGATACCTAGGCCATAATTTCCTTGACAATTTTGTTTGGAATAAAATTTTATAGTAGATTACTTCATTTATGCCTGTAAATTCCAGGTGTCAGTTACATATTGGGGAAATTATCCAGGATATACTTCTAGGTGAAATATCAATAAGAAAGCACTTGGGTAAATGAAAAGGATTTCTCCGAGACGTTGCATCAGAGAAAAATACCAGCTCAAGCAAAACATAAAAGGGAAATCTGTCCCCCAAAAAATCAAAAGCAGAATTCAAAAGAAGACATGGTATCTGTTACTAAACTAAGCAATGTAGTTGGCAAAAACAGATATGCCTTTGATAGGCAGTACTGAAGAAAGGTGTGCGTTCCCAAATTTATCTATCATCTGCTTTATTCCAACAATATTAACAGGCCTAACTAATCTTCTCTACAAAAACCTTTTATTGTTTATTCCTTTAGACCGTCATAGTTACAATAGTGCTATGTCTGAGCTGCTGAGATATCCACCAGGAAGCCAAAAGTCTCTTCTCTATCCCGTTGACCATTTCTCATGTTCCACACGCTGTTGTTAGCTGTGCGTTAGCCCCATAGGTATGATGCTATTGACTTTCCTTAGCCCACTTCCACATCCAGCACTTATCCCGCAGGACTCATTCAGCATGTCCCAAGGGGCATGGGATGCAGCAATGGTCATCTCAGAGGCTTTGCGAAGGCAGCACAGTGCTTTGGAAGGAACCGAAGACACAAGACTGCCAAGGAGGGAGAGGTGAAAGTCCTTAAATGAAGAAAAAACACTTCCCACATGTCAGAAGGAAAATAACTTTCCAAAGTTTTTTGTTACACGTACAATGTATTTTCTCACATCAGTGGTAGCATGCCAGATGGCACCATTGCAAAAACGTAATCACTGAATCCTTTGAAACTATCAGGTGAGTTGTCCTGCTATTTCTACAGGATCAGTCCCTGCCCACAAGCTCAGGCCGGTTTCCAGCCAGTCTATGTGTGTGTTCCCATTGATTTCTGAGGCAGCTGATTCAGGTCCAATTAGCAGAATTAAGGCCCCTTTACCAGCACCGTACTTGCATTAAGTCGACTTAGCTGCTTGGCTCATATTTGGCTCTCAGATTCTTGGTCCATTCAGCTCATAACAGTATAGCTGAATTATTGCTGTTGTGGTGTTTGACCAACTTTCCCACCAGCAAAGTTAGCCATTATAACCTTATTCTCACACCAAACTCTTACTTTGAAGAATTACCTCCATCTGGACTGGACTACAAAAGACTTATTTTCCATGTTCGTTGTTGTAGCCCGTTGTGCCTGTCTGTGGTATTACTCATTTGCCACATAAGAACAAATACTGTGCTAGTGAAATTAAAGCTTAAAACTGAAGAAAAGTCCGTGCATGGTTGTACAGTGAGAAAAGAGGTATGTTTCAGCCCTTTCTTCAATCAGTTTTCCAAATTAATTTTCTCAAATGTCCTGACCGACACAGCCACATAAGTAAAATAGGCCTTAACAAATTCAAAGTCTTTCAACTGTATGTATTTTCTTACTCAAGTAACATTTTCATTTAAAAAAAAATAGCTTTAGGATGTAACCATTTAAAATATTATATATTTACATGTTTATGCCTGGATGATTATATATATATACTGAATCATATATACTCCCTTAACATTAACAGCCCTGACTATGACCCCTAATCCTGAAATCTAATTTGGTTAATCAAAATCAAACTAGTTTATTCTGTTCTTTTATAAACTTAGTATTAAAGGTATTTTGAATCAAAATTCTTTCACTGCAACTTAGTGTGCAGGTATTACCCCTAGTGAAGCCTGTGTAGCACCACTGATTTCCAGTTTTCTGATCTGCACAGGGAGGTGAAATTACTGGTTGAAGACCTCCCTTTTCATGGCATTACTTTTTACAGTTTCAAGCTCAGCGAAGTCTGAAACTGTATGATTTATGTCAGAGTGACTCTGGTAGCTTTGGGGCTCTTTCTGTTTGTCCTAGAAGAAGCCCAAATACTGTAGCTTTTAGCAACACTCCTGAGTAATGCAGATGTTGCTGTGGGTTCAAACATCAAGAGACTTCCTCCAGAAAATGTTTCCCTAACTTTAACGTCATCTTCCTGTCAGCACTCCTAAAGGTGCCCTCAAGAGCCATAATCTAATCCTTTTGTGCTATTTCCTTTTATTCACTACCTGCTGCCTTCTCTCCCATTGAGAATAGGTTGGCTTCATTCTTCAAAACCTGACTATACATATTTGACTGAGTTCTTATCGTTGGAGTTAAGGACTGCCG